TATATATATATATATATATATATTCTAGTGCTTACGCAATGCTGAAAGTCCAACATGAATCAGCTGAGAGACACTTGTCGTCTCACCTCAGCCTCACCATTACTTTCAGTACACCGGCACACTTACTGAGCAACTCGTTACATGACTTTCATATGTCTCACAGAACAATGAAAATGCAGGTCTCTAATTCATTGAACAAACATGCTAGATTGGTGCGATCACATTAGCGAAATTTCATGGGCGAAAAAAAAAGTCCATTGTCTATTGTTAATAATGTAGAGATTATGGGACTTTTTGACCAAGCAGTTTTCTGGTCGTCAACACAGTGAATCCGCATGAACAACTTGAATCTGTGGCTAAATCTGTGTGTGTAAATCTTTGCCCTCAAACAAAATTCCCAATCGTGTGGAATCCTATATAAATTACTGGATTTCATCTGTGTAAATTCGCTGAACAGCAGTATGTGATCACAGTATTTTTCAGCACATGGTTAAAAGTGTGATTGTTGCAACCAAATCTAAATTCATTCATATTTTACGAGGTGGCTAATTCATATGAATTTGTACGACCTTAACAGTACAAATTCATATGTTTTGTGAAAAATCAGATGTATTTTATAAGGTGGCAGATTCGTAGGAAATCGTACGAATGACCACCCCTAACCTCGCCCCCTAAACCTACCCCTCACAGAAAATGCACAAAATCATACAAGTGAAGTCGCATGAATTAGTCACCTCATAAAATATGTACAAATTGCTTGTGAGATACAGTAGCATTGATTGTTTTGCTTTGTGAAACATTTCCTACAAAAATCATTTTGAGGAATAAAAGAGATTTTTTTTTTCTCCTGTTTAAATGTTTAGCCTTTGAATTTAAACATATTTTTATTGTTAGGCAGTTAAAAGTTAGCATGATGCTAACACGGTAGCTGAATTTGAAGTCAATTGTAACACTAGTTACTTACTTTTCAGTCATTACCTTCAGCAAATACGAAAACAATAGGAAAACAAAGACAAAACCTGGGCAGTTTACGTAATTTAGAAATCACAGCCAGGACATCTCTGGGAAAAAGAGGACATATATTAATAATGAACATTTATTACTCATTTATTACACGTCTGTGCATGTTGAAGGAACATACAAGTTCAATCATACCCTTCCACTGCCAACTGTTTCATGTCATGTCTTTTCTTTTCTGATAAAAATAGCAGTAATTGAATTTGTGACCATAAAAGCTGGTTAACTTCTTAGAAGTTGGTAGTTTTAAAAGCGACTTGAGAGCATTTCACTCAATAGCTTCACACTAAACCTTTGATTTCTGTATGAAATAATATCGGCATAAGCTGGAACAGACCAGAGCTCTTCTGACTAAAAGTTCAGGCTATGAAAACATACAATTATTTGACCTGTTTCTACGGTGTGTAAGTGAAACAGCAGTGTACAGCTATACTCCACACATATGCACACCGGAAAACACATTTATACACAGTTATATTTGAACACAAGAGCTCAGAAACCTTGATTTCTTCTGCACCATTAGGTCTTCCAGCTCATCAAGTCCCTCTAATGTACAGTGCAGTATATATGATATATGGTCATTTAGGGACCACGTGTAAGCGAATAATGTCTATTTAAAATGTTGCACTTTAGCATGTCTCATACACTTAACATGATTAGTTTAACCCTCAGATGGCTTGTACTCTCTCTCTCTCATTATTAAAGCTAATTACGCCCCTCAGTAGATCAGCACAATACAGCAGTATCAGCGCACATGTTTCAATATAACCTGCGTAGGGATATAATATACAACGAAAAATGACCCTAGATCAACACTGTTACTCTAATGAGTTTTATAGATTTGACCCCAGGACAAGCAGGAGCCCTGCTTTAAACTGGTTTGCGTTCAAGGGGCTTTTTCTCTTCCAGAGAAAAGAAAAAGTGTGACTCTGATCATTTTAGGAGAGATTTTCAACTATCTATCTATCTATCTATCTATCTATCTATCTATCCATCCATCCATCCATCCATCCATCCATCCATCCATCCATCCATCTATCTAAATAATTGCATGGTAGATCTCAATAACACTTTAAACACAGATTATAAACACAGGTACAAGAATAATGGCCATATACAAATGAAAAGTAAATATTAAAGCAATCACAGTTTAACTGTTTTAATTGTCCCAATACAATTATATATTATATATTGACTATTTTAAGGATGTCCTCGCTACCTTTCTGGGCCTTGAACGTGTCAGTTGCGTTGCTGTCTATGGAGGGTCAGAAAACTCTCGGATTTCATCAAAAATATCTTAATTTGTGTTCCGAAGATGAACGGAGATCTTACGGGTTTGCAACGACATGAGGGTGAGTAATTAATGACAGAATTTTCATTTTTGGGTGAACTATTTTTTTAAGAGCACAATGAAAATAATCTATTACCACAACACTACAGTGTATCACTCTGTTAGGTGTGGTGTGTCCACTTGTAAATCTTAAACCAGGGATTTAAATGTTTTTGTATATTAATAAAAAAAAAAGCTGACACAGTATTGCCGCATTTATAGTAAACACTGTCGGCACTCCATCATCAAGCCTGAGTAGCAATTCTCCCATCTACAAGATGATTTTAATCATCCATTACCTTTTATTATTTAATAAGATCAATTAGCGTGCTTAATTGGTCCAAATGAGCTGTTTAGCTGATGAGGTGCTGTGATGGATGATGGGATTGTCAGCAAATTGAGGAAAGCTGTTTCTCTCAGGGACTTTCTCCCTGCTCTCATTCACGCCTCCTGGGTCTTTTCTGGTCTCAATCATATACACGCACAGTATCTCAGAAAAAAAGCGAGTCTGACTTGCCCAGTTGTTCCCAGAAGTCAATGCGTTTACTGATTCTGACATTCTGAGGCAGACATCTGTGGGAAACTGCCAGCATTCACGTAAGCGGACCCGGCTTTAAATGAGACATGAGCCAAAGTACTGCTCAAAGCTGGCTTGACTATGCATAAATCTGACTAATCGGTCAGGACATGCTGACCGAACATATCAGGGAGTCTTGACACAGAAAGCCGGCCGGTCTTAACTCAGCGGGATCCCAGGAACCCCTGCATCTGCTGAGGAAGGCCAGAGGGAAGGATCCCAGGCCTGTTTATTTTGATCCTTTTGTCGCCCGTCCCAAACCCCCACACTGTTGGCACTGACCAGGCTGTGCAATTCCATCTTACCCCAAGACTAAATTACCATTTTAATTAGCAGGGGCTTGAGAATTAATAATCCTTCATTATATGGCTTTGGGCATGAAAATTCATAATCCCTTTAGTCAGTTATGTATTCTGGGTCAGACAGTAGATCAGACTGCAGCCATTGTGAGTGTCTTCATTAACTATTTGTTTAGTCTGCGTTTAATTAACCGCAAAGACTCCTTGAAAGTTACATCACTTAGGTTGAATGTATTCTGAGTGTTTGTGTGTGACATGTCTGGGATGTTGCTCAGATGATGAATGAAGACATCTGCTGTCTGGAGGAGCCAGGTTGTTCTCAGGAAGTCACAAGTCGTGTAATTTGTGAGCTATGAAACAGACATGAGTAGAGACGCTGGGTTTCTTAAATAATGTTACTTTTTTATTGCATGTGGCTATTCAGAATCAATACAGTTCTAAAGCAATGCTAATTACACGAAGTTTAAATTATCATTTCTAAGTAGCATCACAATGCAAAGAATATGAAGTATATACAATGGAAGACACAGGGGAAAAAAAAAAAAACTCGCTCAGGCATTGAAATATTCAAGCTTTCCATACTGAGAAACAACATTCACATAAGAACACTGCTGAAATTACTGTTAGGATTCAACAGCAAAAAAGAACAAAAACACTTTTTTATTTAAAAGTTGGCAGAAAAAAGGTGTACGGCAAAAAACTTTCTTAAGGTTTTAAATATATTAACACAGTATTTTTACATTTGGTTCCTTTCTGTAAACTAATCTTTAAAAAATGTAAATATTGCATATGCCGTTTGTGAATTTGTACCTATTTGTGTAATATCAAGTATTATTCAATGAATTTTATTTATTTTTATATCATAGCATTATCAAATATCCTCGAAGTGGCATTTATCATACAGTGTACATAGTTTTACAAACGTACTGATAAATTAGAAAAGAAAAGCGCCAGGCCAAAGTTCAGCCTTTGGCAAGTACCTTCATTAGTGCTTTAGTTGTTTGGGGGAAATTCATTCAAACACGTACCATATATATATATATCTATATACAAAAAGACATAAGTTATCATCTTTAACTTAAAAACGTCAGTTGCAATCTCTTTATACACTATGTACAGCTTTCTAGGCAAACGTTTTCATATACTTAAGTCAAGTTGTGTGTGTATGTTGTACTTTGTTTCGCTTGCTTGCGTACGACTCTGCCTCTATTGGTGGATGTTTAGGCCGTGCGTTTGGTCTCCTGCGGAGATCTCCAGAATACTCTACATTCAAAAGTGTCTTGTGTTACAATCTAAGGAGTTGTAAGTGCAAGACAAAGCATTGGTTCTGACGAGTCTATCCCTGTCTGACGGTAGGGAGCAGCATTAATGGTGTCAGGCCTTCTGAGACGTCCCTGAATCTATCACTCTCTCTTGAGCCGACAGACGGGTACGGGTGTAAGGCGAAGGGAAGCCTGTGTGTTCAGAGCAGTGAGAGAGGGCAAGTCAGCAGAGGCTTCTGGGTTGTTAAAGACAGTGAGTTCAAGTGTGCTAGCGTGCCTAGGCTTGAGGTGAGGTGCTCCTCTCTCTGACCGGAGGCGCACGACATCATTCATCTAGCATACCATAAGGGTTGTGTGTTAATCGCGTGTGGCTTCGTTCCAAAACTGATAACTCCTCTGCTCTGGAAGCCTGCTTTGCATATGTGCGGGGATAAATAGTATTATATTAAAATCCTCTAAATATCTGTGTAGAATGCAAAATAACATTAATAGATCTTTGATTGCAGCGCAAGACCTTCCTCCGCTGCAGTACAAGACATTCAATTACCATGGCAAACAGTAATCTTTGATACTCTCGTGAGTGTATGCAGGTCCTCCAGAAAACACTGTTTGACAGTACAGTCAGTAAGGCTTTGGATTGGTGTTTTTTTGTTTTGTTTTGTTTCTTAAGAAAACATTCACTTGTAAAAATAAATTAATTTCTCAATATATATTCTTTTTGTATGTCATAACCTGGCTCGTTCTGAGGTAGGGTTTTTTCCGATTTCCAATTGTTGAGTAAATTTCTGAAATGCCACCTCTGTGCGGTGTTACGAACACACGCACGCATGCACGCCGCCGCCGCCTCCGCGGGGGTAAATAAATATGCGACTTGTATATGCGTGCGTGTGCGGATCGAATGTCTCTCCTCGTGTTTGGTTCACAGGTTTTGGGGGGGGTTGAGGGACACTGGCCACTCGAAGTCCAGAACTCGTAACAAAACCAGTGAAAAAGGTCCATAACACAAAAACTGAGGGAAGGGATTGTAGTGAGTAACAGATGGACAGGAAGTCCCGCCTTTGTGTCTTTGAGTCATCGTCATGCCTCGCGCTGGGGTCAAGTGTCCGTGTTGCTGTGACGACGGTCATTCGAATGGATTCGGGAGGTCAAGGATCAGCAAAGAGCTGAAGAAGCAGCAGCAGCAGCAACGTGGTCCATCTGTCCACATGAGCACCTCCTCTTCTCCTCTCGATGGAGATGAAGGAGCTTTAATGAAGAGACTGGCTCTGTTTAGTCTGCAAGAAATAAGAGAGAGAGAGAGAAAGAAGCACATTAATGCGATGTCTATAAATATCCAGACAGAGAAAGCACACGAACCAATAAAACACAATGTTCCTTGAGATCAACACGGTTGCGCTGCTGTCACATAACACAACAGCCTTTTATGGGCATTCACTAATGTTTCTGCATTTTTCTGAAATACTATCATATTCCTCTGTGCCTTGTCTGGAAAATCTTCCCTTTTCACAGAGCGGTGTGTGTTTTTCCATGACCATCCGTATGTGATTTATACATGAGGAATGAAGCAGACTAGTGGGGGGATAAAAGGTCACATGCTCCCCCTCTCTCATTCTCTCCTTTACCAAGTAAGGAATGTGCGCTCTTTTGCTACGAGCAACAGAAGTGGCAGGTGCTCAGAGACAGACGAGGGAAACACTCGCTGACATTTAGCACTATGCAGCTGACGGAAAGAGCACAAAAATACAACACATCCACTACCATGCCACACAGCCTTAAATGTTCAGCAACATCCATGTAAAATGTTATTTCATATTTAAATATTTAAATTTTGAATATCTTGTTCTAAAGATGCAATTCCAACATTTCTGAAAACCATTGTTAGCTAACTATGGTTGTTAGTTCCATTGAACTCTATTGGTAAGGACAGAACTTGCGACCATAGTTGCTTTTGGGTTACCAAAGTTTCACTTTTCACAATATTTTAACATTTACACAATTTGATATTATTATTACTGTTAGCCATCAGCATTAGCATCAGCACCTTGCTGACTTTACAAAATTATGCTTAATATTTTTCTCTAATTGCATAAATGGGTCTTTATAGACACCATGTAATTTTAGAAAAGTTCATAAACACAAGTTTCTCCTGGTTAACTGTACATGAGACATAGTGAGATATGAAACAATAGTTTGTGTGTGCACATTACCACAATTATAAAATAATTAAAACATCCATCCAATTCTTGCCAATGCAAGAATCCATCCTGTATGAATGGTCTCATAATAGAGAAAAAAAAATGACTTGCATCACCTTTATGTTTGAAATGTAAATATCAAAGTGTCATTTGACAGTTTGCTTCTCTCTTGCTGCTGTCTGGGTTCTGTTTACAAGACTAGATCGCTATCCTGACCTCTCACCCGTTGTACTTGTTTGTGAGGTTTCATTTGCATGTAGGCCTCACACTGGGCGGAAGTCTCTGCAAACACAAACCCCTCATGGGCCTGTCCTGCCTGGCCGTACTCTAGCGCCACCCCCCTCCGATCTCCTCCTCCTGCTTTTCATCCGCCTAGAACAAGAAGTGTTTTCATAGAGCGAGACTTGCTCTCACACACACTTAACAAACCCTTGATTCACGGCCATCGGCTATACAGCACGCCATAATCGCTCCCATTATCTGGACTGCCCGCACACATTCCGAACACTTCCGCATGTGAGCCCGATATCACAACATCCACTCCAACAGGGATGGAAGTAATTCCCATGAACGTCAGTAGGGCTGTATTCTCTCATGGAGAGCTGGGTAAAGCCAGGGAGGAGGGGCCAGCGAGAGGTCAAGCGTTTTCATGGTCGTAAAGAGCCTCATCTTTTCCTGCTCTTTGATACCTCCCTCTGTGTGGTATTACGACGTATTACTCTTCCAGTTAAGTGCTGACAGAACTGTTTGCTCATGGCCAACTAGTGAAGACAGAGAAAAAGTGAGAGAGAGGAAGATTAGGTGCTTTCCTGTTGTCCTTTCAACTTTACCGACTGTGGGAAAAACAGCAAAAAACATGTTCACGCCACTGCCTCACCCTGATGGTAAAAAACAACAGTAACACCAACGATAAAAACTATATCTACAACAGTAACAATGGCAAACGACAACACTAAAAATTGTTAAGACTATTGGTTCCAGCCCTGGCTTCTGATTGGCCAATGCACTGAATGCAACATCCCAAGTTTAAACTTCTACTCTGAAAAGACTCTGTTGTCCTATTAAGTAGTCCAATTCATAAACAAATTATTCTTATTAACTGATTCTTTTTAGTGAATCAAAAACGGATCAAATTTTGGTTCTGTTGACTATTATCTTCATTAAATAAACTGCAACTAAACTGGGGTGCATTTCCCAAAAGCATCGTTAGCCAACTATGGTCACGAGTTCCATCGTTACCAACATACTTCAACGATTCGGTGTTTCCCGAAACCATAGTTCAAACGAGCATTCGCAAACAGCGTCGCAAACTTACGTGGTTGGAACTACAGCTCTCGACCTGTGGTTAGAAGCATTAGTAAGACATATGGGCTACAAAAAATAGTAAATTAGTCATCAGGTGCTATGTTCAATACAGCAACATCTTAGATCTCTAATCAGTTAAATTGCAGAAGTTACTATTCCACCACATGCATGTGAAGTCATTAACAATGGCCCTACATTGTTGAACTAATGTGGTTCAAACGACGGAGATGCGACCGTGTTCGGGAAACAGTCGTGACTGTAGTTTGTTTCCACAATAATGCATCGTACTATGGTGGTTAATCAGCGAGTTACGTCGTTGTATGGGAAATGCACCCCTGCATAGTTTGGGTCCTGTTCTTTATTTATTTATTTGTTAATTTATCATGTTATATTATGTTATAAAGTCAGAAGCTTCACTTTATTATCTACACTATTAGCTACGTTTTTAAAAAGTTTGGCCTAAAGGAGGCTATAATGTGTGTCCAGCTTCTAGTTGCCCATAAATGGATAATGACATTATATGACCTAACCTACTTTACTGTCACCACTGAGTGCTTCAGAGACACCACCTCTAAAACAATGGCACTATATTGACTACAGAAACATCAGTGTAACCTCTTACATGACAGCACAGTGGAAACCTTGATGTGAACTTGAGCTTGGCTGCTCATATCCATACTCTCAGAGTACCATGTCGGGTGGTCTGCTTTCGTCATGTGTATAAATAGACTCAAAACTGACAAGAGATCTCTTTCCCTCTCTCGCTGATTCTCACATTCACACTGATGCCACAGGGCTGGAGTCATGTGAGTCTGTGTGTGTGTGGAGGTCAGAGAGGCAGCTTGAATTTCACACAGCTAATTAAGCAAGAGGAAGCTTGGCAATTCCATGGATGTCCCATTCTGATTCGGAAAGGCAGAAAAAACAGCACCAATGAACGAGGGGAAAGAAAGAGCCATGAGGTCATGGGACAAGCACTCAACAGAGACGCAGAGAGATGAATGAGCAGAGGGAGGAACTGGATATATTTGATCTGTCCTTTTCTTAAACTCTGATCCAGCATTATTCAGTGTGTCCTACAGTAATCAACAGCACCATATAAAAATAAATTAGATTTTACTTGAGCTATGCTATGTTATAGTCGAACAGTGTTAGCTTAGCATTTTTATATACACTATTATAGTTTTTCTTAATATTTAGATTTCACTGTTTTTTAATATATTTATTTTTAGCTTTTCAGATTTATTTTTTATTTCAGTTTTAGGCTTAGTAATTTTAGTACTTTAACTTACATTTATTTTTTCATTAGTTGACAATGCAACATTTCTAAATTTTGTTCAAGTTTTTTTTTTATTATTTTATTTTATTTTAAATTAACAATAACATTCAAATTTAATCAAAAGATAGTCAAATTGATGAACAAATGACTCATTTGAGCTGGTTCTTTTAATAACTCAAAATAATTACTATTGCTTAACTGAATGAACTGATGTGACTGATGAAAGTATGGATTTATATTAAGTAAAGACATTTTGTTTACTTAAGATTAATCAAATTAAGTATCAAAATCAGAACATTACATAGCTACAATTTAATAATTAAAAAAAACAGAATTCTGCAGGATATGCAGCTGAATGCTGGATCTTACAGCTGAATGAGTAAATGCAAATCAAATCAACAAATATAAAAGCTAAATGTAAATATGCTCAAATTCAATTATCAGTAAGAGCAGATGGAAACCAGAAGTAGGAGGTCTTGTTGGACCCTCTGACCTCAAATTCCCTCCCCCATCTCTCTCCCTCTTGTTTTGTCTCTCAGAGTGATCTCTCAACTTATAAAACATCTTCAGATCTACATAGCTGAGTGCAATATATTGCTTCCTAAACACATTTATGACATTGAAACTTTCCCGTGTCTGTGTGAGAAATCAGCGCAGGTATTTAAAGCAGCTGTAATCCGGACCCCGCTGGTTCAAGTCAACAGCCTGTGAACCCGCTTCCCCCATACCCCAAAAACTATCCCCGCTCCACACACACATTTGTCCTGCGACTCATTTTTTATTTATTTCACACAGGTTAAATTTAGCCCCCTGTAGCCGGGCCGGGAACAGTCTGGCGTTCTTACACACATAAAACACACAACTGTTCTCACACACAAGGCATATTTACAGTAGTGAGAAAAGCAGCTGAGTGACTGACTGTACTGTAAACATGTGCTAGTGTTACTAATTTATTTATCTACGCCAGTCTCATATATCATAGATGGGGGGTATCAGTTTTAACCCGTGGGGTAGAAAAATTGTTTCTGTTCATCTTCACTCAGCAGGATCTTCCAGTGTCGCTCCCATTAGGGATGTTCACACTGTCAGCAATTTGCCGTCATTCATTTTTAGTGAGAGTTAAAGTTAGCAAGTGACACACAAAATAAAATTTAAGGCATTCACTCATTCAAATGTGGCTGTCTGTGTTACAAAACATTACAAAGTATGTGGACTACTGTATGATTTTAGAAATTCTTTGTTAACACATCTATGACAGATTCTCAACTCAATGCCAATTAGGGTTGCCAACCGTCCTGTATTAGCCGGGACGTCCTGTATTTTGGGCCTAATTGATTTGTCCCGTATGTGACCTCCCTTGTCCCGTTTTTTGACTGCTACGCTGATATAACCACTGACTGATACAACAGCAGCAGCGCTGATCACTTGAGAATGATCACCGATACCTGTCATCATCCAATCACAGCCCCCCTCACGCAGTATACGTTAAGTAAAT